ATCTCTCTCTCTCTCTCTCTCTCTCTCTCTCTCTCTCTCTCTCTCTCTCTCTCTCTCTCTCTCTCTCTCTGCCTTCCCTTTCATTCCGATCGATGGCGTGAGCTTGTGTGTATATGTACGCGTAATGGTGTGCGAGAGGATTATTGTAAGTACAAGTACGTGGATGCCTCTCTCTGTGTGAATATGTTACAGTAAGAATACATACCTAGTGAATACGTGTAATCACTGAATATTTTAGGGAATACAACTTATCCCCGTTTCACTCAGGGGTTTCATGTAATCACTGAAATTTCTAGTGATTACGCGAAATCCCTAAAATTAGACCTATCATTTTACGTGTTCTTACTATTGAGCATTCAGTGAATTCACGTAACAGCCCCGCCACTGTACAGTGACCCAGTTTGTAGTTATAAGTGGGCTTGTTTTGGTCCAATACTCACCTAGGAGTTCTCGTCAAGGGGTCAGGTGGATCTTATTGACATGCAAAGCATTCAGAGTGGATCCAATAAGAAATGATGGTGTACCAGGATCACTTAAAGAAGTTTTGCATCCTTTGAGCCTTGACGTCTAAAAGAGCTGCAGATGTCGCTTTTCATTTACTGGACATTTTTCTGCTCATTGGTGCACCCGTTATTCTACAAAGCGAAAACTCACTTCACAGGTCATCACACAGCTGAAGGAAGTTTGGTCAAACCTAAAAATGGTGCATGGTAAGCCTCGCTATCCCCAAAGTCAGGGGTCAGTTGAGCGAGCAAATGGTGATATTCAAGATTCTGCTCGTGGCTTGGATGACTGATAATGACTCACAGGACTGGCCTACGGGCATCAACTTTGTTCAGTTCCAGAAAAATAGTACTCTTTATTCCGGGATAAAGTGCTCTCCATATTCTGCAATGTTTGGCTGTGAAGCTCGGGTTGGACTTACTACTTCGTCTTTGCCGGAGGAAGTGATTGCTCGGATGGAGTCTGAGGAAGATCTTCTTGCTGTTAATGAAAACTCTCTCACTCCCAAACTGATAAGGCTGCAGACCAGATCCAATCTACAAGCGATGAAACACCAACAGTTGATGCGACAGTCGGTGTTCTACTTCCAGTTCAACTTGAAAGCACATCAGCACAAGACATCGATCTACCCACAGGACCTTCATTGCCCATAGCAACACCATCAGCCTACGATACTGACAGTCCTGGTTCTTATGGACAATCGGAAGATCATGTGACGTCTCTCTCACCCTCTCCACCTGACAGTCCTGGTTCCTCTGCTGAGAACTTTATGGTAGAAGACGCATGAAACAAATAAAAATGCGTCGTCGAGAAGCAGCCAATGCACAAACTTCTCAAGCAGAAAGAATGGTTAAAACAAGTCGGGTAGATGTGCGAGCTGGTAAACAAGGAGACAGCGTTTGTGTGCCAGTTTCACTTGTTGATCGAGGGAGAGGCGATCCTAGAAATATTCTTGGTGTCGTAATTGACCGACGAGAAGACACAGGCCAATATAAGATAGCCGTAAAAGCTTGTATTCTCAGTGGTTTATATTCAAGAAATCAATTCGATCTGTGCCCTGAGCGACATAAACACTGAACAAATAGTTTCACTGCGTTCAGCGGTGATTTTTCAATTCTCTTCAGGTGGACAAGGCTTCACAAAATGCAACTGTACGCGAGCCAAAAAGTGTTTTTCAAGGCGATGTGAATGCCGAAAAGTAGGGCTTCAGTGTAACTCACACTGTCATTGCAGCCTCAATTGTTGCAACAAGTGACGACATCGATGGATTTTAGTCTTCAGTTTTTAACCCCCTCCCCCCC